AGTGCAGGAACTGGGGGGCTGGCATCCCTCCTAATTCCACAGTGCTTCAGGCAAACCTGGCTTTACCCACACGTGGCCCCGGTTTGTGTCTGGCCTGTTCTCCACAAACTCCCAAACTTCCAAGGCCACCCACCCACCTGTAGCTTTTGTGTAAGGCGCCAGCATCCCGCCTGGTGGGTTCTGACCTTGTTCTCCCAACTGACAAGGACCACACCCCCACTCAGCCTCTGCCAGGGGCTCAGCAGCCCCGCCCTCCCAGCCCTGGCTGGTGCTGCTGTTGTTGGACCCCACACCCGTGCCAGGAGGGCATCTACCTCTGAGCGGTGTGCTTCCTACTTCCCTTTGTTATTTTTTTTACTCGCAATCAGGGTCTTATTACATAACCCCAGCCTTGACGTTGGGCTCCTTCTGCCTGTTCTTCCCGAGTAGCTGGGACTACAGGGCCTCACTGAAGCAGCAGCCCAACAGCCAACAGCCGTGACTGCACTGTCCTGCAAACCGCAGGCCACCCACCCAGCAGGCTCTGCCCTTCTCTCTGCTGGCGCTGGTCAGTCCTCTCCATTGAATACTCACCACCTGATCCGGTGGGGACACTGGGGGCTCCAAGCTGAGCACTTGCAAGTCTGCCTCAGGCAACTGCAGGGCCTCCAGTTCCATAGGGGTGGGGTCTGGGACCTCAGTGTCTCTGAGAAGAGGAAGAAGCTACCAAACAGGGATCTGCGGCTCCCTAGCCTTTAGGCACCAGGCGCTGGCTCAAGGAGGAGCAGAGTGAAGACAGCAGATTGCCTGGGCTGGTTGACAGCCCCTCCCGTGCCTAGCAAAGCCCCTGCTGCCAGCAGCATGGCTCTACGGAGGGTGGGCGGTGTCCCAGTGTGTTCTAACTAGCATGGGATGGGAGGGGATGCTGCTTAGGGATCAGGACATAAGCTGTCCTGACATTTAACTTTCCCAGTCTGGGACAAGCCTGATGGTGGGCACCTGGACAAACTTCCTCTGAAAATAAACAGGCCACTATCTATCTATTCATTGCATCATTTTGTGGCCATGGAGATTAAGCCGAGGACCTCACACATGTTCTCTTGATTGTTGAGACAGGGTTTCTCTGAGTAGCCCTGGCCATCCTGGAACTTAGTCTGTAGACCAGGCTGACCTTGAAATTCAGATTGCCCGCCTGTCTCTGCCTCCCTGGTGTTGGGATTGAAGGTGTACAGCATGCCAGGATAGGCTTTTTTTTCTTTAAGTTTATTATTAGTGCCTTTAGTACTTTTTTAAATCCTTGTCTTTCCTTTGAGACAAGAGTTCATGTAGGCTCGCCTGGGACTTGCTACAGCCAATGACAACTGCATTTTTGATCTTCTTGTCATCACGTCCCCAGTGCTGGGATGACAGGTGTGAGCCACCATGTATAGTTTACACAGTGCTGAGGCCAAAGCCCAGGACCCTCTGCGTGTTAGCAAGGGCTCTATCAACTTTTCGAAGCCCAGGAAGCACTTAATTTCTTTCCTTTTGAGACCAAGGCAGGCCTTGAACTTGTGACCCTCCTATCTCCACTCCCCCAGTACTGGGACTGCAGGTGTGTGCTACCACAGGCCTGACCAATAAGGAATTTAATTATTTTTGGTGTTCTGAGACAATTTCTCACTCTTTAGCCCAGGCTGGCCTCCTTGATGGTAGCCATCCTGCCTAGCAATAGTGGATGTTGTCTTATCTTTTGTTTCTTGAGACAGAGTCTCTTGTAGCCCAGGTTGGTCTTAGACACACTGTATAGCCCAGGATGGTCTTGAACTTCTGATCCTCCTGCCTCTACCCTCTAAGAGCTGGGATTACAGGTTTGTGCCACCACACCCAGCATAAATAATGGATGCTTTCAAAAGGCTTTACTGACCGGGCATGGTGGTACATGCCCATGATCACAGCACTCTAAGGCTGTGAACGCCATCCTGCCTCACAAAACAAGACCAAAAAAGCCTTAAAAACCGAAAAGTTGTTTTATTGTTACTTGCTCCAACAACGTGTTACGAGTTCATGTTCTTAAAATAAACTGTCAGATTCTACGCCTGTTTCCTAAGAGCCTGGGTCCTACGGCATGTCCTAGAAGCATAAAAGTCAATAGCTTGGGAGAGTCTGGAAGACTCTTGGGTTACACAACTGAACTGAAAACTGTCTAAGAACACATGGCCAGGAAAGCCAGAGCTACAGAAGAGAAAGACCCAGTCTCAAAAAAGCCAAACAAAACAAAGAAACTGCGTATGTGTTCCTATGCAGAATAGTCTTATGTCAACCTGATACAAGCTGGAGTCATCAAAGAGAAGGGAGCCTCAATTAAGAAAATACTCCCTAAGCCTGGTGGTGGTGGCGCACACCTTTAATTCCAGCACTCAGAAGGCAGAGACAGGGGGATCTCTGTGAGTTCAAGTCCAGCCTGGTCTACAGAGTGAGTTCCAGGGCAGCCAGGGCTACACAGAGGAAACCCTGTCTCAACAAAACAAAGCAAAAAAACAACAACCTAAAAGCAGCAAAAAACCCAACAAACTAAAAAGCATTCAGTTTCAGGCAAGCCTCTAGGGCATTTTCTTAATTAGTGATTGATGGGAGAGGCTCAGCCCATTGTTGGTGGAGCTATCACTGGGCTGAGTAGGCCATGAGAGCAAGCCAGTAAGCAGCACCCTCCAAGGCCTCTGCATCAGCTCCAGCCTCCAGGTTCCTGCCCTGTTTTGACTTCCTGTCCTGACTTCCTACAACAATGGACTATGATATGGAAGTGTGAGCCAAATAAACCCTTTCCTCCCCAACCTGCTCTTGATCACAGTGTTTCATTACAGCAACAGAAACCTTAGCTAAGACAGTTCCCAAGAATCCCTGGTACCGAGAATGACCCTTTGAACTGGCTGCCTGAGGTGAGCCTGCATATGCACAGCAGCCAGTGGGCAATCGCGCTTACCTGGGGGCCATGCAGGAGTAGGAGTAACCCACGAAAGGCAGGTGGACCCCAAGTGGCATGTCTCCCTGCATGTCCGACAGTGTCTCCTATGGAAGAGGTGCAGGGCTGTGGCCAGCGGTTTTCAGGGATGGCTCCTCATCCCTCTCTGATGATAGCATAACTGGCCCCACTAAACCAACCCCATCTTCTCGTGTGTCTTGTTGGGGCCCGGCCCACACCACACTTTTCTGTACTGCAAGCGGGCCAAGGCAGGACCTAGAGCTTGTTAAAAAGAGCACTAGCCTGACAGAGGACCTCCTGCCTCACCCGGCATCCTTCTGGGCCTCAGCTCAGTCTCCTTCAAGAACCCCCCAGCACCTTCCAGGCTGGGTCTATTTTAGCCTTGCTAACAGTGAGACCAGGTCTTGAGAACTGGTCACCTGATGTGTCCTCAAGCCTGAGTGGGTACATAGCAGTGCTCAAGGAAAATAATTTGGGATCCAAGAAGGTCATCATCCCATGTTTTTCATTTTTCTTTCTTTTCTTTTTTTGATGTTTTTTTAAGGACAGGGTTTCTCTGTGTAGCCCTGACTGGCCTGGCACTCACTCTGGAGACCAGGCTGGCCTTTATTCACCAGATATCCACCTCCCTCTGCCTCTGAAGCCCCGGGAATAAATGTGTACTGTCACACTTAGCCAAGAAGCACAGTTTTTATGGAAGCTGGTTGGGGGGGTCCCCTCAACCCCCCAGGAGCCGCAGGGATGTACCCCGCCCCCGCTCACCATGGCAGTGAGCCGGTCCTCCACAACATCGAAGTTGCAGGTGTCCGTGGCACCCTCGAAGTCTGGTGTAAAGGGGGGCACACTGTCTCGCAGGCTCTCCCAATCAAGGCCACAGAAGAACGGATGCTTCTGGAAATCACCTGTCCTGCCTCTGCCTAGCCTTATCTCAGCTGGG